TCTTCAAGCATACCTACAACACAAAATCAGGTAGTGTTAGGTACCCAAATTGCTTTGGATCCTTGATAGTTAGTACATTTTTCAACCCACACATACAAAATCAGGTAGTGTTAGGTACCCAAATTGCTTTGGATCCTTGATAGTTAGTACATTTTTCAACCCACACATAATGCCCCTTAGTAACACCAATATTACGCACATAGCAAGCATTAGGTGTATGGCCTTTAATTTCACAATAAGAACATGTAGGTTGAAAATGACTTCTATATCTAGGAACATAATTCTTTTTCTTTGCAATGCTTTTCTTGTTATGATTTTGATGCTGAACTTTAGAAGTGCTGGCCTTTTCTTTAACAATTTGTTCACTTGCTCTTACGAAAACGGTCTTATTGGTGCTTGGTTTTGAAAATTTAGAATATCCTAATCCACTTTTATCATTAGGATATCTTTGATGTTTTAGAATTTCTTCCAATCCAATTTGACCTTTTTCGTATCTTTCTAAAACTCTTTTGAGTTGAACAATTTGGAAAGATAAAGACTCACAATTTTTACATACAAGACTTTGTTTTTCATCCATCAGTTTCTGTTTTTCATCTTCAATATTTTTCATAAAAACAGAGTTTTGTTCTTCTAAAGATGAGATTCTTTTCTTTTGTGATGAGATGTTTTTATACAAAGTCTTGCACTCTTTTAGAAGTTCATCTATAATTTCTTGTGCATCATTATCATAAACAGAAAAATTACTACTAACCTCATTTTCTTTATCAGAGTGGTGAGAGGCCATTAACGCCATATTTGCACATTCATCGTTTTCCGATTCCGATGATGAACTTACTTCGTTGTCGTCCCATGCGACATAAGCCTTCTTCACTTTGAAATCCTTCTTGCCTTTGAATTTTCCTTTATTTGCGAGTTTCGGGCAATCTGGCTTTATGTGACCTTGTTTCCCACATTCGTAACATGTAATTTCTTGGTTTGATGTGGGTGCCTCCTTTTTCCTGAAATGTCTATTCTTTTTAGAAAAAGAGGAAATTTTATTATTATTAAAAAACTTACCAAGCTTCTTTACTAGAAGCATGAAATTTTCGTCTTCGGAAGATTCGTCATTTTTGTCATCCTTTGTGTCAATCTTCAAGGCAATTCCTTTGGACTTCTTGTCTTGACTCTCATGCTTCTCAAGCCTTCCAAGTTCTAGTTCATGCTCTTGAAGTTTGCCAAATAAGGAAGCGGATGTCATTGTTGAAAGACTCTTCTTTTCCGAAATAGCGGTCACCTTTGGTTGCCATTCTCTTGTTAAGGATCTTAGGACTTTCAAGTTGAGATCATCATTGGTGAAGGTCTTCCCGAAAGCAATCAGATGATTAGTTAGATGAACGAATCTCTTTTGTAGGGCAACAATGGATTCACCAGGCTGCATACGGAACATTTCATATTCTTGACTTAAAGTATTAAGTCTTGATCTTTTTACTTCGGATGTCCCTTCATGCGTTTCTACCAGGGTGTCCCAAATTTCTTTTGTTGATTTACACTGTGATATACAAAAGAATTCGTCCATACT